ATTAGACTTTTTTTATGGGGTCATTTAAAGTCTGTTGTATTTACCCCTCAACCTCAAAATTTAGAAGAACTTCGTCAGAGAATTACTGCAGCTTGCCGTGGAATTCAAAGGGAAGTTTTTGAAAATGTGCGCCGTAGTTTTGAACAACGGTTGTACCATTGTTTAGCTAATAACGGACAACACTTTGAACAATTATTAAGTTGATTTTCTCTGCAAAAAGTTTTTGTACATAATTAAATAACTGAAAATAAAATAGAACGTTTCAAGCAGTTAAAAATTGTTTAAGTAATAACCAAATAAACCTAAAAGAAAAGAAAAATGAAACAGAAATCGTTTTTTTCTAAATATCTCTGACAGACGCCAGGCAAGCTAGCCAACGTAGGTATATCATTGTTAAAATAACCTAAATATCAAAGATTTCGGATTGCTCCGAAATAATAAAGGTTTAATGGTCGTTGTAAAAACGAACATGGTAACTTAATTTTATATATTAATAATAAAAGATTAATTATTCTTGCTTTTAAGAAGGCGATTAAACTTTTTAATATTAATTAAAGCGGGAAATTTCGAAAACGAATCGATCAATTCAAAAAAAATAAATACTAACATGTAGTACCTTAAAAGGCCTTTAAAATGAGGTATCCCTTTCCATTTAAGATTTTTAAGGGGTTGGTTTCTGGCGGCGGGGGGTTGAAGTGAGTGAGTCAATTTTTGCATAAATTGCAAATTTTTAAACTTCCGGATTTACAGAAATTGAGGTGGAAAGTTTTGAAATGAACACCCTGTATATTAAAAAAATGTTTAAGTTTCATAACTTACTTTATAAGGTTTAATAATCAATCTTAATTAACATAATCGAATTGTAAATGTGGATATAATGACTTGTTTAAGTGTTAAAAAGTGTAAGATCATTTACATACACTAACATGTTAGTGATACCTTTTATTTAATTTCAACACTTTGTATTTAAACCTTCATTTTTATATTGATTGTTTATAGTAATAGTAACAAATTCTTTTGGGGCAAAGTATCTAGAAATATAACCATGAAGGTTATATTTTTCTTTTGTAAAATCATTAGGGATTGGCTCGCTTTTTAGGATTTCTAAATACTACTCAACATGTAGCGTCCGGAAGTAACCTTACTCGATTTAACAAAAAAAAACTAATCGACCGTATTTTATAAGAAGGCCAATGGTATTGCATTTAGCCCATTTGGAAACGAGCACGAAAAATTAATTAACTCCCATAAAGGTCACCGGTTTCCTTAATTAGATAAATTCAACTTTACTTCTTCGTCTACGAGAACGGATTTTCACTATTTGATATGATGACATTAAACCTTCCAAATGTAAAATGTTTAAACCTCTAAAAGATGATTGCAACTTAGGATAATAAAAAAAAGCGAAAGTAATAATAACAAACGCGACCTTCGTTGCAAGTCAAAAATATACCTTTCTTTACTTTATTACGCTGTTATGCAACATCCATTCTATGTATATGGCAATTTCATTATTTAACAAACTATAAAAATCGCAGATAGGTCAACGAAATATGTACCTACATAAAAATAAAATCCTCTATTACATATAATATTTTATTAATTCTAAAATTTTTTTGTTTCAGATAATGGGTTCAATACCCAACTTATCCATCATAAGAGGTCCAACAAGACCATTAAAACCAAATTCAATACACCGTTTATTCGAAGCTGTTGCGCAAAAAGTTGATGATACGGCTTTAATTTTTGAAGATCGTAAAACATCCTACAAAGAATTAAACGAAAAATCTAATAAAATCGCAAGAGCAATTATAAGAAGCGTAAAAGCTGAAAATTTGCCATCTAACAATGACGGAGATTATATCGTTGCTGTTAGTATGGTGCCTTCGGATAATTTAGTGGCCGTTTTACTTGGAATATGGAAATCTGGGGCTGCCTATTTACCGATTGATCCAAGTTTTCCCGGCCCTAGAATCGAACACATCTGCAGAGAAGCTAAACCGTTTCTAATTGTTTATGAAAACGATTCCGATTATTTTGTTAACCCGAAAAAGATTTCTTATAACAATTTAATTGAACGAGGAGAAATTTTGTCGGGGGATAATCTTAAATGTCAGGATTGTTTAAGACATGCTAGAGATGATTTGGCTATTGTTTTGTATACATCTGGAAGTACTGGAATTCCTAAAGGTATATGCTAAATGTGTCAATTTCAATTAAGATGCAATTTTTCTAGTTCTAAGTCTAATGTTAGTAACAGTTTTAGTAACTTTTTTTTTAACTTTTAGTAACAGTGGTAGGTAGCGCTATTTAGCATAAGATATCACTATGTTGCATTTTTTATGGCACTAAAACTGGTACTAACACTAGACCTAGAACTAGACTCATTCATAGATACTTTCTAGTAGTGAGGGTTCTGTCCAATCGGAACAGATGGTGCGTCATAGACAGGACGTCGCGCCTTATTTCTTTATGTAGGTAAAATGAAGGCGCGACGTACTGTCTGGGACACACCATCATTCGGGTTTAGCCGTATTGAGAGACGTGCGGTTAAATCCGAATGATTGTGGTTCTAGGTTCTATTACTAGAACTAACACAAGACCTAGAACTAGAATCATTCGGATTTAGCCATCTTTAGAGACGTGCGGCTAAATCCGAATGTTTCTAGTTCTAAGTCTAATGTTAATTTTAGTGAGTGGTAGCGCTAGTTAGCATAAGATATCACTATGTTGCATTTTTTTATGGCACTAAAACTAGAACTAACACTAGACCTAGAACTAGAAACATTCATAGATACTTTCTAGTTGTAAGTCTAGTGTTAGTTCTAGTTTTACACCAACACTACTTTAGAGATCGATATTTTCGCAACCGCTCGATAAAAAAAATTGCGACAAAATTTGCTGTAATCACTGAACATTTCTACGTAACATATGTCAATTTGAAAATTTTTGGATTCACGGTTTTCTTTTTCTCGCGAGTTAAATGAAAAAAGTACCCAATTTTTTAGAGTGCCAGCAACTTTGCGATTTTTTTTCTCGAAAACTATCGTACGAAAAAATTTGAATTTTGAACAGGTGGTAGCCTGATGTGTTCTTAATGAGTGGTATATTTTATTTTTTCGATATTCCATACAGTTTCGCGGAAAATCGCGGTTTAGTAAGACGCCGTTATGTCGAAAACGGCCGGGTGGATTTCCTCGCGGATTTGACCAAAATATGTCAAATAATGTCGATTGTCGGATTCCGTTGCCAGTTTTTCAAAATTAGAGCTCCTTAATTTTTTAAGAGCGATTTAATGTAATTACAAATTAAAGAGAAGCAGAAATAAGCTCTGCGGGGTGACGGGGGTTCTGTCCAATCGGAACAGATGGTGCGTCATAGACAGGACGTCGCGCCTTATTTCTTTATGTAGGTAAAATGAAGGCGCGACGTACTGTCTGGGACACACCATCATTCGGGTTTAGCCGTCTTGAGAGACGTGCGGTTAAATCCGAATGTTTCTCGTTCTCGGTCTGGTGTTAGTTCTAGTTTTGCACTAGCACTATTACTAGAACTAACACAAGACCTAGAACTAGAATCATTCGGATTTAGCCATCTTTAGAGACGTGCGGCTAAATCCGAATGTTTCTCGTTCTCGGTCTAGTGTTAGTTCTAGTTTTAGTTGTTATTCAGCGTTAGACTGTGGTATATTTTCATTGACGTCACCTTTTTCAAGCAAAAGTTGAGCAGTGCAAGTGCATAGTAGTTTCATAACTATGGTTACTGCATTCACATATTAAAAGTTATATGGACCTGAACCTAGTCATCATATTATCGAGCCTCGCCCTCAAGCGAACTCGTCTGTCTCAACTAAAGTTGTAGATCTTTTAACTGATTAAGGGCCGGTTGTACCACCTCCCGATAAACTATCTAACGGATAATTACCATGGATACAGCAGTTTTAAGCGCTCTCATTGGCTAAGGCCCGTTACTACCAAACCAATGCTATCTGTCAGTTAAGCTATCTATAAGATACAATTTATCTCGTAAATAATAGGGTCGTGCGTACTACCACCTCCATTTATCTCATAGTTAATAAATCCTTGAGATAACCAAGGACTCAAAAAATGTCAAAAGGTGGTCAAAAGATCTACTATTAGGTATTTTGACGATATTCTAACCTGTTGTAACCTTAAAATTAAAATTTGGAAATGGAGACTGAGAAAAGGCGACAAACCACCAATTTCATCAAAGAAGAATGCGAACATCTTCTTGAATTTGTTATCAAACATAAAAACGTAATAGAAAACAAAAAAAGTGATGAAGTTACATGGCAAGGAAAGCAAAAAGTATGTATACTCGTATTATTGTATGTTAAAATGTGATGGTATACAATAATGGCACAACTAACATGATGAACGACTGAAGATGCCAATTGTACACTCACTCCTGCAAAATATGCTATGGATCGCAACATGTTACCTATTGTATAAAACCGAAGAGTCAACAACAAACGGTTTGACGGAGGTACAGCATTATTACTAAAATTTTGATGAATTTGATGAAATTCAAATGAATTCTCAATGAATATTTAAATGGTCAACTCTACTCCTTATTATCATTGATTTCTTCAAAAATTTGTTCTTCATCTCCAATATCGAAGAAATTATCCACGATGACTTTATCTAATGTTAATTATTAATAGTTTTTTATTTAAGTTTATATTACTTTTTTTATTTTAACTGAAATAGTAAAACGCTCGAATTTTATACGTCAGTATAAATCCTATTTGAGGTTAGGTATCCGCAGTTATCCCTTAGTTATCAGCACGGATTACAGATATTTCAAATGTTATCTTTTGGATAGCGGTATCTATAAGATAAATACCGTGGTAGTAACCAATTTTTAAGCTATCAGAGACTTTAACTATGAGTGGTAGTAGTGGGCCTAAGTGCGCCAATTTATCTATCGGATAAATTTATCGGGAGTTGGTACAACCGACCCTAAGGCCCACTTTTACCATCCTCCTGATAACCTATCTAGAGGATAGTTGCCATGGTTACGCCGGTTTTAAGCGCTCTCATTGGCTAAGAACTGGATTTATCTATCGGATAAATTTATCAGGAGGTAGTAAAAGTGGGTCTAAACAGAGCTTACTTGTGACCGAGGTTTAACGATTAATTTCATATCTACCTCAATGTGGATGTGAATGTGGTTATCATATTGCAGCACTTTGGCCTCGGCTTTATCATGTGGAGTCTTTTCATTAATTAAGGCGAGGTCGCATCGGTTAATGGCGATGTTAAATAAATGATCTTTTATATTTTTTCAGGTGTTCGTTTACCACATAATATTATTTTAAATCGACTTTATTGGCAATTTAAAACGTTTCCGTACAGCCAGTCAGAAAAAGTGGGAGTTTTTAAGACGGCTTTAACTTTTGTGGATAGCGTCTCTGAAATATGGGGTCCCCTCATAAATGGAATGTCTATTTTGGTGGTCAAAAAAACAATAACACAAGATCCAGAAAAACTGGTTACCCTTCTTGATAAGTACAAGGTGAGTGAAAAAATATTTAAATTTGATCGTGATGAAAAGTATAAAAAAAGGAAAGTATATCGGGATTTCGTTCGGAGATGTAATTTTCCATTCATCTCTCGTGTTCTGGCGTAATTCGCGTTTTCCTGACCACACGCAACAACGACCAACAGGTGAAAGTCAACCTATTTTGCAATTACATACTTACGAATATTACGGTCAGTTTAGCTCGAGTAAAATAATTTAAATATTGATTAGATACTTGTGCCGTGACATAGTTAATTAATATTGATAAATTGCATATTGGTAAAGGTTATCTTAATTTAACTGGACTAAATCTCTTTTTAAAAACTAATTAATATTCATGATTCTAATTAAAAAAAAATTTAATTTATAACTTAATAACACAAAAAATAATAAAAACTCATCTAAACGGCGACCTTCAATTTTCAATAATACAATTTTTTTCAATAATGACGCCAATTACAACGTGTAACGTAACAATCTTCACGCCTCCCATTTAACTAACTTCCCGTTTCTCTGTTTACAGATAGAAAGGTTAGTCCTTGTGCCTTCACTTCTGAGGTCTCTATTGATGTACTTAAAATCGCAGGTATAACAAATAATTATAAGTACGAAGGCTTTCACGGCCGGTGTTAATTGAATTAAAACTAAAAGTAACATTAGATATGGAATTAACAACTTTCGGGTTAAATCACTTGTTAATTCTAGTTTTAGATCATTAAGGCCCACTTTTACCACCTCCTGATAAATTTATCCGATAGATAAATCCAGTTCTTAGCCAATGAGAGCGCTTAAAACCGCCGTAACCATGGCAACTATCCTCTAGATAGTTTATCAGGAGGATGGTAAAAGTGGGCCTAAATGATATAAATATGGGTGTCCCACGATGAACTGCGTCGATCGATATAGGAGAAACTATGAGTAGTATCTTTCTGAAAATTTGTAGGCGCACTTAAGTCGATATGCCCAACTCACCTAAAATATTTTCAAGACTGTCGCACTTCCGGTTATACCGGAAGTAGACAACAACTTCGTTATTTTAAATGGAACCACCTATATATTATTACATATTTAGATTCTACATCCGATTTTAATTAACTTTTACTTAAACATCTTATATAAAATTCTTACCCGTTTCTGAAATATTTACAAATTTATGTAAAAAAATTACCTATGCAGGCTTGTATGTTATGTGTATTTCTGCTAACACTGTTAAGTATTTGTTATATCTGATGAAAGGAATTTGAAGAAGAGACTATAGCTTAACTTTTGGTAGCTCATATGTTGTCCTACTACATACAGGGTGTTCAAAAAAAGCTGCCAAATATTTATATAAGAAAAAGCGAAAAACTCAAAAAAATTAAATGGAAACCATATATTTTTTTAATTGTATCTGAATCTACATTAAAAATAAAGGTAACTTTATGTAAGGTTCCCTATATCTAACTATCGCCGTTTCTTTGTAATTTTCGTTTTAAATAGTTTAAGATTATTCAAAACAATTTTGTGTCAAAGACGGCCATGACTACCGAGAAACAAATGAAGGTAACACAAATGTCATTATATCATTTATAAAATTCACTATGCCCGCACGTTTAAATTATACTAATGAAGATTATCTAAATCTATTTATTATTTATGGAGAATGTAACAAAGTTTTAACAAGAACATGCGATACATTTGCTGCTCGATATCCGCGAAAACGGAAACCATCCCCGAATACCTTAAAACAAATAATTCATAACTTCAACATTTTAAACAATCTCCCGAGAAACAAATGAAAGTATGACAAATTATGTATTAAGTAATTTGTATTTAACGTACTAAGTATGAGAAAACTAACTCTACTTTAATAAATGTTCAAAATTTTTCCCTTGAACTTCTAAACATTTTTCGCATCGCAAGATGACTTGTTGATGGGTAGCCTTTCTCAAAAAATCTGGATTTAAGTTATTGAACGCATTTCGCACTCTTTCCATACAATTTTCCTGAGTGGTCAATGTCGTGCTATAAACTTGATTTTTGATAGTACCCCATATAAAGTAATCTAAAACCGACAAATCAGGTGATCTAATGTCCACAAGAAAGGTCCATTATTAGCAATCCATTGGCCATTAAATATATTTTCGAGGAAATTGCTAACTAAATAGCCGTTGTGCGGAGGCGCTCCATCGTGTTGGTAAAAAATTTGTGTTAATTCAACCAGAGGTAAATTTTCTAAATAATTAGTATCAAAATTTCGTAAAATGTTTAAATATCTTTCGCCTAGAAAAAAATTAATTGCAGCAATTAAAATTAATTGTAAATTATTCGTTATACCAATTATTTCTTAATTATTTACCATTTAGATTTTCCTCATAAAAATGCAACGCTACTACTCTATCGTTTCTTATAGCGCAGTAGACATTGAATTGCCAGCTTCCTTGAAAATTACTCGTCGTAAATTTGTGAGGATTAGAATCACTCCAATAATGCGAATTATGTCTATTAAACAAACCATTTTTGGTAAATTTTGCCTCGTCAGACCAAATAATATTGTCCAAAAATTGATTATTTCCATAGTGTTCAGTTAAAATAAATTCACTCTTCTTGCGAAGTCAGTATCTCTTAAATGTTGCACTATGGAAATTGAATACGGATGATACTTATGTTTTTTCAAAATTCTGTGGATTGAGCTTTTGGAAAGTCCAGATTCTTTTGAAACTTGTCCGAGAGATATTGTCGGATATGCATTGAAATATCCTAAAACAGCGATTTCCACATTTTCATTATCTACAATAGGCTTCTTTTTGAGAACTTTTCCTTTTACGGAACCATGTGTCTTGAAGTTATAAATTATTTGTTTCAAGGTATTCGGGGATGGTTTCCGTTTTTGCGGATATCGAGCAGCAAATGTATCGCATGTTCTTGTTAAAACTTTGTTACATTCTCCATAGATAATAAATAGATTTAGATAATCTTCATTAGTATAATTTAAACGTGCGGGCATAGTGAATTTTATAAATGATATAATGACATTTGTGTTACCTTCATTTGTTTCTCGGTAGTCATGGCCGTCTTTGACACAAAATTGTTTTGAATAATCTTAAACTATTTAAAACGAAAATTACAAAGAAACGGCGATAGTTAGATATAGGGAACCTTACATAAAGTTACCTTTATTTTTAATGTAGATTCAGATACAATTAAAAAAATATATGGTTTCCATTTAATTTTTTTGAGTTTTTCGCTTTTTCTTATATAAATATTTGGCAGCTTTTTTTGAACACCCTGTATGTAGTAGGACAACATATGAGCTACCAAAAGTTAAGCTATAGTCTCTTCTTCAAATTCCTTTCATCAGATATAACAAATACTTAACAGTGTTAGCAGAAATACACATAACATACAAGCCTGCATAGGTAATTTTTTTACATAAATTTGTAAATATTTCAGAAACGGGTAAGAATTTTATATAAGATGTTTAAGTAAAAGTTAATTAAAATCGGATGTAGAATCTAAATATGTAATAATATATAGGTGGTTCCATTTAAAATAACGAAGTTGTTGTCTACTTCCGGTATAACCGGAAGTGCGACAATCTTGAAAATATTTTAGGTGAGTTGGGCATATCGACATAAGTGCACCTACAAATTTTCAGAAAGATACTACTCATAGTTTCTCCTATATCGATCGACGCAGTTCGTCGTGGGACATCCTGTACACATTTTTGTTGAAGTAAAATTAGAATTAACAATTAATTAATAGTGTTATCAACTTTCTTCAACCTGTTTTTAAAAAGATTTCAATTTAATTTTAGAAAAAACACGGAGCATTAAAACATTTACGACTTTGGATATGCTCAGGAGAAACTCTTGTGGTTTCTTTAGCTAAAGAATTTTACCATCACTTCCCAGAAAACGAACACAAATTATTAAACTTTTACGGAAGTACTGAAATAATGGGAGACGTTACTTTTCATATAATCGAAGGATTAAAGCAGCTAGAACATCAAGAGAAAGTTCCAATTGGATTACCTTTAGATAACACCATTATTTACCTTTTGGATTCAAATTATAGGCCTGTTAAAGCTGGGGATGTTGGTGAAATTTTTGTTTCCGGCTTAAATTTGGCGTCAGGTTACGTAAACGGAAGAGATCCCGAAAAGTTTATTGAAAATCCTTTAGCTATCGATCCGACTTTTGCACGACTTTACCGAACCGGGGATTTTGGTAAAATTGAAAAAGGAACGATTTTATACGACGGAAGAACTGATTCTCAAGTCAAAATTCGTGGACACCGCGTGGATCTTGCCGAAGTTGAAAAAGCTGTAAACTCACTTGACGAAATTGAAAAAGGAGTGGTGCTTTGTTATAAACCCGGTGAAATTAATCAAGCACTTCTAGCTTTCGTAACATCAAACGCTTTAGTTAGCGAAAACCAAATTGAAGAAAGTTTAAGAAAAAAGCTCGCTTCTTATATGATCCCCCAAGTAATTATTTTGGATGTAATTCCCTTATTGGTTAATGGAAAAGTTGATAGGCAAGCTTTATTAAAAAGTTATGAAACCGTTAATAACAACGACGATACTTGTTTTCAAGTCGATATTAATTTCGAAGGTGTCCCAACGGATAAAATCGACGAAGCTAAAGCTCTCTTTGAAACTGTCGCTAACGTTTTAAATAGATCTGCGAGATCGGCTATTAGTGTTAACGCCAATTTTTACGAAATCGGTGGAAATTCATTAAACTCCATTTTTACTATAACCGCTTTAACTGAAAAAGGATATCACATCAGTAAGATAATTTATTTTTAATTATGTAGCGAATTAATTTTTAATCTTTTAATTTAAGGTATTGGAGATTTTATCGCGGCAATGGATTTTGGGGAAATCCTCGAACGTATGACAAAAACCCATGAAACTTCTGTTAATATCAAACCACCAAATTACACAATGGAAAATTTAAAAGACGAACACAAATCGGCTGTTATTGAGTATGTTTTGTTAGCATAAAGAAATAAATTATTTCAATTTTGTTCTATTTACAGTATGATCACAACTAGTTTTTATCAAAAAGCTGATTTGGAACAGTGGTTAATGCCGGATCTTTCAACGATGGATTATACGGAATTAATAAATGCAATGTGGGAACCTTTATTAGAAAAAAATCTTTCATTCGTCGCTAAAAATGAAAATGGGAAGTGCGAAGGTGTCGCTCTCAATTTTGATGCTAGGGATGAACCGGAAGTAAATATTACGTCCAAATTAACCGTTGTTTTTGAATTCTTAGAGTTTATTGAAGGTCCAATAAGGTTAGTAATTAAATAATTTGTGTCTAGTTTGTGTTAAATCTTTCCTGTTTTGTATCAATATGGTATCGAGTAGTGATGAAACGGATATTCGGCATCACCTTCGGCCATTACGGTTATAATTTCTGTTATAATAAGATATGTCAACTTATTTGGATCCAAGATACAAAGTGAACTTCTTTGATGCTGACTTAACTAACGAAGCAACACATAGCGAATTTTGAAAGTTATCGATGAAAATAATATTGTTTTCTCAAAAACTAAAAGTTGTTTTTCAAAATGGGTTGGTTCATTGGAAAGAGGACACTTTAATTAACACTTTGGGAAATTTTCATATTCATATTCCAAGAAGTTGCAGAAATTGCAAAATTCGAAAAAATTGTTAATTTCAAAAATTTTTTTCTCAAGAACTAAAAGTGATTTTTCAAAACGCCTTTTTGCATTAAAAAGAGGATACTTTAATTAATAATTGGTGATATTTCCACAAGGATCCTTCAAGAAATTAATTTTATAGCGAATTTTGAAAATTATCGATGAAAATTGCAACATCGAAAATTTTATCAAAACTTCAAATATTGTTTTCTCAAAAACTAAAAGTTATTTTTCAAAACGGGTTGGTTCATTGGAAAGAGGACACTTTTATTAACACTTTGGGAAATTTTCATACTCATATTCCAAGAAATGGATTTTATACGAATTTTTAAAACTTAATCGGCGAAAATTGCAAAATTCGAAAAAATTGTCGATTATTTCAAAAATTTATTTCTCAAGAACTAAAAGTGATTTTTCAAAACGGCTTGTTGCATTAAAAAGAGGATACTTTAATTAATAATTGGTGATATTTCCACAAGGATCCTTCAAGAAATTAATTTTATAGCGAATTTTGAAAATTATCGATGAAAATTGCAACATCGAAAATTTTATCAAAACTTCAAATATTGTTTTCTCAAAAACTAAAAGTTATTTTTCAAAACGGGTTGGTTCATTGGAAAGAGGACACTTTTATTAACACTTTGGGAAATTTTCATACTCATATTCCAAGAAATGGATTTTATACGAATTTTTAAAACTTAATCGGCGAAAATTGCAAAATTCGAAAAAATTGTCGATTATTTCAAAAATTTATTTCTCAAGAACTAAAAGTGATTTTTCAAAACGGCTTTTTGCATTAAAAAGAGGATACTTTAATTAATAATTGGTGATATTTCCACAAGGATCCTTCAAGAAATTAATTTTATAGCGAATTTTGAAAGTTATCGATGAAAATTGCAACATCGAAAATTTTATCAAAACTTCAAATATTGTTTTCTCAAAAACTAAAAGCTATTTTTCAAAACGGTTTAGTTCATTGGAAAGAAGACACTTTTATTAACACTTTGGGAAATTTTCATACTCATATTCCAAGAAGTTGATTTTATACGAAATTTTAAAGTTTAATCATCGAAAATTGCAAAATTCAAAAAAATTGTCGACCACTTCAAAAATTTATTTCTCAAAAACTAAAAGCGATGTTTCAAAACACCTTTTTGCATTAAAAAGAGGATACTGTAATTAATAATTGGTGATATTTCCACAAGGATCCTCCAAAAAATAAATTTTATAGCAAATTTTGAAAGTTATCGATGAAAATTGCAACATCGAAAATTTTATCAAAACTTCAAATATTGTTTTCTCAAAAACTAAAAGTTATTTTTCAAAACGTGTTGGTTCATTGGAAAGAGGACACTTTTATTAACACTTTGGGAAATTTTCATACTTCATATTCCAAGAACTGGATTTTATACAATTTTTAAAACTTAATCGGCGAAAATTGCAAAATTCAAAAAAATTTTCGATCACTTCAAAAATTTATTTCTCAAAAACTAAAAGCGATTTTTCAAAACGGCTTTTTGCATTAAAAAGAGGATACTATAATTAATAATTGGTGATATTTCCACAAGGATCCTTCAAGAAATAAATTTTATAGCAAATTTTGAAAGTTATCGATGAAAATTGCAACATCGAAAATGTTATCAAAACTTCAAATATTCTTTTCTCAAAAACTAAAAATTATTTTTCAAAACGTGTTGGTTCATTGGAAAGAGGACACTTTTATTAACACTTTGGGAAATTTTCATACTTATATTCCAAGAACTGGATTTTATACCAATTTTTAAAACTTAATCGGCGAAAATTGCAAAATTCGTAAAAATTGTCGATCACTTCAAAAATTTATTTCTCAAAAACTAAAAGCGATTTTTCAAAACGGCTTGTTGTATTAAAAAGAGAATACTTTAATTAATAATTGGTAATATTTTCACAAAGATCCTCCAAAAAATAAATTTTATAGCAAATTTTGAAAGTTGTCGATCAAAATTGCAACATCGAAAATTTTATCAAAACTTCAAATATTGTTTTCTGAAAAACTAAAAGTAATTTTTCAAAATGGGTTGGTTCATTGAAAAGAGGACACTTTTATTAACACTTTGAGTAATTTTCATACGCATATTCCAAGAAGTAGATTTTATACGAATTTTTAAAACTTAATCGGCGAAAATTGCAAAATTCAAAAAAATTGTCGATAAATTCAAAAATTTATTGCTCAAGAATTAAAGGTGATTTTTCAAAACGGCTTTTTGCATTAAAAAGAGGATACTGTAATTAATAATTGGTGGTATTTCCACAAGCATCCTCCAAAAAAATAAATTTTATAGCGAATTTTGAAAGTTATCGATGAAAATTGCAACATCGAAATTTTTATCAAAACTTCAAATATTGTTTTCTCAAAAACTAAAAGTAATTTTTCAAAATGGGTTGGTTTATTGGAAAGAGGACACTTTTATTAACACTTTGGGAAATTTTCATACTCATATTCCAAGAAATTGATTTTATACGAATTTGCAAAAGTTAATCGGCGAAAATTGCAAAATTCAAAAAAATTGTCGATCACTTCAAAAATTTATTTCTCAAAAACTAAAAGCGATTTTTCAAAACGGCTTGTTGCATTAAAAAGAGGATACTTTAATTAATAATTGGTGGTATTTCCACAAAGATTCGCCAAAAAATAAATTTTTAAAGCTCAAAAATTTCAAACATATATGGATACTACTTTGCTTTTTAATTTAATTGCGTTATTTATCAAATTGTTAATAAAATTAAAATTTCTTTATCTTTATAGAGATAATAATCTTCCTCCTGGTAAAGGCAAAATCCTTCATTCGTTTATGATGGGAACTCATTCCAGTTTAACGCCGAAAGAAAATGTTGCAATTATGCATTATATGGAAGAAGAAGTTTTAAAAATGGCAAAAGATCGACATTTCGCTGGTATATTAACATCGAATACTAATCCGTTAACGCAACAATTAGGGAGTGATGTTTATGGGTACCAAACGTTGTTGGATTACCAAGTAAATGATTACGTAGCTGGAGATAACACAAAACCTTTTGGAATGGCACCTGATGACCAACGAGTTAAAGTACAATGGAAACCGATTTAAATAAGAGCTTTCATTAAAAATTAAGTTCCTTTTCTTTTTCTTAAGAAAAAAATTTGCTGTGAAAAGTATGTTGTTAATTTTTCTATTAATTCTTTTTTTCGATTATATTTTGGTGTTATTTAATAGCGGAGAGATGAAAAATTGTACAAATATCATAAATTCTTGCCCGTTTTAGTTGATATAGTTTAAGGATTTATTACGACTAACTATTTTAGTTCGCACCAAATATAATGAGCATTTATTAGAGTAGAAAACACACAACTATTACATATTTAAAACTCGTAGGGTTAATAATGATTGTAAGATAATAATGTATATTTTAAAAATTGTATTAGATTCATTTTTGAATGTGATTATAGTAATATATAAAATTAATAAAATTAAACATTTATATTTCTTTCTTAATATCAAAGATTGGAAACTTTGCAGACACCCCTTCATGGTGTTGGTATGACTGCATAAGATTTAGAAAATACGTCAAATTATGTCGCCACTGTCATATTTTCTAATTTACATTTTACAAATTATTTCGGTTAAATCTATTGAGCTGTTGATTTTCCATACGAATGATATTAATGGATATTTTGACGAAACGTTCAATTCAATAGGTGAAAAACCTGTTGGTGGTTTTCCAAGAATTGCGTATGTGTTAAATAAAGCTAGAGATGATTATCGGCGCGGTAAAGGACCCGCTGTTCTTTATTTTGATTGTGGAAATGTGTTCATTGGTAGCCCATGGTTTTCAATTCATAGAGATAAAATTGCGACCGCCCTTATGAATTCTTTAACACCCGACGCTGCGGTAAATGCAAAAATATAAATATAATAACACATAAATATATAAATTTTTTTTAGTGTTTAGGCACTTTAGAATTTGCGTATGGACTGAAGGGATTATTACCATATCTTTCAAAGATTAATTTTCCAATCGTTGTATCAAACCTCGGTCTTTCTAAGCAACAAAGTCTCGCAAAATTAGTTAACAAAAAGCTTGTATTTAATATTAAAAATACAAAAATTGGAATTCTTGGGTACATAAAAAATCGGAGACAAGCATTTACTAATTTAATCTACTCCGTGGAAGTTTTGGATGAAATCGAAGTTATAGGTCAACTCGCTGAGTCTCTTCGAAAAGATGGTGTTCACATAATTATAGTATTAAGTCACGGCGGGTTGCAGGCAGATGTCACCTTAAGCAGGTTAATAAGATATGTTGATATTATTCTCGGCGGAAATACCAGGAATTTTTTATGGAATGGTCCACCTCCAGATATGGAACAGCCAACCGATCCGTATCCACTTATTGTTAAGCGTTTAGATGGTGTACAACTTGCGATTGCTCATGGTTACCGCAGAGCTAAATATCTAGGTAAATTACATGTCAGCTATAATACAAGGCGTTTAACAGGACAATATCATGGTCAGCCCATTTTTTTGAATGAAGACATAGGACAAGATAAATACGTTGCAGACTTACTTAACACCTTTCGTCCTGCGGTGACGGAAGCGAACGAAACATTTGTTGGCAAAAGCAGAGTTACATTGGATGGAGAGACTTGTTTTTATAACGAATGTAATTTTGGAAATTTGATAGCAGATTCTTTTGTTCGTTATAACGCTAAGCGGTTTTTAACAAAGTAAGATTAACTTAGTTTTGTGTATTTTCCACAAATTCCTATTGATAAAAACATTTCTAGATATGATAAAATTTCTTATAATATGTGGACGGATGCTGCAATAGGACTAATTAACGTTGGTGCGATACAAGAAAGCATCATCCCCAGAAAAAGAAAGAATAATGTTTATAAAATTAACTTGTTAGAAGCAATACCCTTTAATAATTTACTCTATGTGATTAAATTATCCGGGTCTGATTTACTCTTAGCTTTAGAACACGGTGCGAAAGGTCATGAACACCGAAGATTACCTGAGTTTTTAATTCCGTCAGGATTAAAAGTTGTGTACGACTTTACAAGACCCGAAGGCAAGCGGGTTAAATCGGTTCTTGCGAAATGTTCACTTTGCAGAACACCAAGGTATGAACCTTTACAAAGTACTAGCATCTACGGGGTTGTCACTACTGAGTATTTAGTGAATAGCGGCGATGGACATTTTTCATTAGGCAAAGGAAAATCTAATATGTTATCTTCTAACGATGCTGATCATATCATTAATTGCTTAATGGAATACTTTCAAGCTTTTCAAGTTGTCGCGCCTGAAATTGAAGGTCGAATTATAATTGAGAATCCAATTCCTGCAGGGGTCCCCAATACAACTGTTTTAGATAAATGTTTGTATATTATATTTATAAGCTTGATTTATTGTTATAAATAAACAGTGTTGTTAAATACCCTAGATGTTGTAATAATATTGGGTTCCACTCATAATTTTATTAATTAATTAATAAACAATAGTTTTGTTATAAGAAATAATTACAATAAAGAGGAAATAATGACATTCCGTAAAATCCTTGTAAATCGAGAGCCTAGAAAGTTTATTAGTACTTCTTCAAATCGTTCAAATTAATATTATAATTAAAATATAAAGAACAACTCACGTATTGATATCAAAGTTGATATATCGAGGATAGTTAAAGCTGATGGTTGAAAAATTTCATAAAAGTTTGTTATAGTTCTCATTGATTTCGTCGTTATTTGTAAAGATGTTTTAATCAATGATAAACCCGTTCGTATTTCCGTCGTAGATTAAGAAATATTCTTGTATTTAGTTAAAAAAAGAGGCCACAAAAAAAAAAACGAAACATAACCTCCAAATCTAAAGTATTCAATTTATGGGTGTTTACAGCCAAAAAACTTCTTGAAATACCTAAAAACATAAAGCTTATAATGAATTACATCAGATTCAAGT